CAACAGCTTCCAGCCTTACCCTCCTTGGGGGTATGTTATCTTAACAGAGCTCTATCAACCCTAAGCTTCAATGATTTTCTAAGTGTGAAATGTTATCGTCATGGAAGGGTTTGGGATAGGTGATGGTTGGTGATTATCATCGAGCCTTGCCTGGTATTCCTGAAATCACAGTCACCCACTATCCTCACAGAAATCTGAGTAAATACAAACTAATATCTTCCAATATAGTGATGTACAATACGATCAGCATAAAAATATTAGCAAAGGAGCTTTAACAATTAATTCAGTGTCAACTATAATTATATATATATTACATATGATCACGGGATGTGGAGTACAGCATAGGGAGTAGTGTCAATGGTATTGATACAATATCAGAGGGGTAATAGTTTGGGGGAGGCGGTTATCACTTTGTGAGGGGTGTAAATGTCTTAACTATTACGTTGTTTTGTACACCTGAAACTAATTAAAAAAAAGAATTAATTCAAGTAAATTTGATTTAGAAAAATAAATTATTTGCTTTAATGACTTCCAGGCGGTTATACAATTCACGACAAGCCAAACCCCAGAGGCGAAATCGTAATCGGTGGACAAAATATCTCCATGGGATATTTTAAAAATGAAGAGAAAACGGCAGAGGATTATTCTGTGGATGAAAATGGCCAAAGATGGTTTTGTACTGGTGATATTGGAGAATTTCATCCTGATGGATGTTTACAGATTATCGGTCAGTGTATTCTATTTTCATGGTTTTTGCAACTTAAGCATACATGAAAGGTGATATAGGTCAAGTCATTAATAGGGTTGATGATTCCATTGGTTTAAACTTTGGGCAAGTTATTTAACTTACGTCTGCACTTCTCCATCTGTAAAATAGGGACAAGAATACTGACCTGGTAGGGTATTTGTTAGGATTAAATGAGTTGATACATGTAAAATGTTCAGAGCCAGGACAGTGCCTGCACCTTAGTAAGTGGTAGGGGCAGCAGGAGCATTGGGGGTGGGGAGTTTGGGCAGGAAAATAGCAGATGGGTAATGAGAAAACAAAAAATTGCTCAAAAGAGTTATTGTTTTGGTCACCTACATGTGGTTCTGTGTAACAATCTCCTATAACATACCCTACTCTAGGCCTGCCTCATGTTTACCTCCCCACTCAAGAGGCAGCATGGACGTATTATTTTCTCTAGTGGCCATTTATATGGCTCTACCTGGCTCTGAACCTTAGAAAATTGTATCAATCCTCAACATTAATCTGTTCTTCTGAGAATGTCCATTGGTTTGGCACTGCCCTTATTGAGCCTACTGAAATAGACTTTTAAGTTCAAAAAGTTATTCCAAATGGCCCTTATACTATTCACTTTAATCAGGCAAAAGTTAAGATAAAAATTTAACTCGCTGATAGGGACCACTATGTAAGGTCCCAGTCAGGTCCTTTTCAAGCCAAAAATTCCCTCAGTTATATTTCTAGTGGTCCATTTAAATACGTCTCTGGACCCACACCTGACCTGAATATAGTTAGAGATTTCCTGGGGAAATTGGTTTTTCATCTAGAAATTTGATCTGCTGGGAAAATTCCCATGAAACATTGTTTAGTATTGAACCAAAAATCCCCCCCATTTTCCCTTAGGACCAAAGGTTTTTTTTTTCTGTTGGCATATAGACTGGGTTCCAGGGCTATGGTTAGGCAAGTTAAGCATTCCCACGAAGGTTGTAAGGCGACCTGGTGATTATTTGTGCTGTGCCATCCTGTGTCAGCACATTCTTAGTTCACTGTCATTTTAACAAGATGTCAAATATGGAAAACTGGGGAATTAACATTTATTGACCATGTTCTATATGGCAAACATTGTGCTACATGCCTGTATGAAGTAGGCATCACTGCCCCTAGTAAAATTGAGTATCAGAGAGGTCATCTGACATACCCAGGATCACATCTCTAGGAATGGGCAGATCTACCATTCAAATCTAATGCTCTGAAGTCCTTGTTTCTATTACTAACTTCATTATAATGCTTAAGGTTATAATAAGACATTAAAGCTTTTGGTACAAGGTATAACATTTTAGCCAGTAATTTAACTAGGCTTTTTAAAATTTATTTTTTATTTTTATTTTTATTTTTTTGGAAAATTAAAAATTACTTTATTGACTAGGCATTTCTTTAACTGATATGTATGGGCAAGCATTATGTATAACAATATTTTATATATAACACAAAGAAGTATCTTTGTAAATAAAGATTAAGGCAATGAAATGGAAAGAAAAGCAGAATTGTACAGACCTTAATAAAATGGACGATGGATCACTTAACATGCTTCATGACTTACAGATCGTAAGAAAGATCTGGTGAAGTTGCAAGCAGGAGAATATGTATCTCTTGGGAAAGTGGAAGCTGCACTGAAGAACTGTCCACTTATTGACAACATCTGTGCTTTTGCCAAAAGGTAATTTAAAAAGTTGTATTAGTGTTTCATATACTTACAGTAAAAGGGTAATGGGAAAA